CAGCCTTGCGTGAGGTCGGTAGCATAATGGCAAATAACGGCAGTTATTGATCCGCATTGTTTGTGACTGGTCTATTAGGGTTAGGAGGCTGTGTTTGCTCTCCCTGTTTACCGTGTCCTTAGATGCCCTAGTTTATCTGCAGCTAATTATCCACGCAAGAGAGAGCACAGCTGTACGCCTACCAAATGGTGGTAGATTCATTCGCACTGGCCATGCAGGTAGATGATTCCCTAGTGTTTTAACGGTGCAAGCTTTTCACAGACTTACTGTACGTAATCTTTGATTATAGTACCTCAAGCTTTCTTCATCCGTTGAATAATCTTTTGGTTTCTATCTTTTTCCTGAAGCTTAGATTATTATTTTGTATTCTCTCTCTGTCTCTCTGTCTCCCTCTTTCTTTCTATCTCCTCCCTTACATGTACATGATATGTATCTCTATTCAAAAGATTCCCCTAAGCTCAGTTCCCTCTTCCCCCACTAATATCCCCCTTTCTTTCTTTCTTTTTCTCTCTCTCCACTTTTCTCCCCATTCTATTTCTTTCTTTCTTTCTCTTAATCTCTCTCATCCACCCTCCCCCTCCCCCACCCCCCCCCCCTCTCTCTCTCTCTCTCTCTCTCTGTTTCTCTTTATCTCCCTATCTCTCACTATCTCACTCTATCCCTATCTCTCACTATCTCACTCTATCCCTCTCTCTCTCTCTCTCTCTCTCTCCTTCACCATACTCCCTTCCTTTGTCTTGTTTTCCATCTTAATCTTCTTTTAGCCACTATCTTGTACTCCCTTTCTTTCTTATACATTATTACTAACCTCTATGCTGCTCTACATTTCTCTCCTTCTTCTGTATTCATCTGTTCTCTTTCTTGCCTTCTTTCCTCTCTAGTATTTGCTCTACCTACCATTCCTCCCCCCCCCCCCATACCCCCCTATCTCGCTCTCTCTCTCTCTCTCTCTCTCTCTCTCTCTCTCTCTCTCTCTCTCTCTCTCTCTCTCTCTGTCTCTCTTTCTCTTTCTCTTTCTCTCCTTCTTCTGTTACAATATCTTATAGCTGTCTATCTTTCATTACTCTAATATAGATGACTTTGCTCTAAACTGAATACTTTACAATAATGTTATCAGTCTCAAATAAAAAATATTGAATATAGAAAATATAGAATTGATATAGTCCAAAATACAATATTACACACATATTCACAAAAATTATGAATATACTCTAAAAAGTTGCATTCAAGATGCTGAGCAAAATGCATTCAGCAAATTCTAAAATGCAAACAATATCTTTTAAGTGCTGTCAGCAGATGAACTGCTATCCTCCTCTTTAAAAAAAAAAAATAACCCTGAAAATTCAGAACTGAAAATGTTCACTGATATGTTTTACTTTTGAATTATTGGGTTTTGTTATCACTCATCAAAATATTTGACAGTACGCTTCATCATTATTTGTGTGATCACTTAAGTTAAAAGGAAAAGGAAACTACAACCTACATGTAGTTGGCATTCAGAATAAATTCTATGATACTCTTTTATTTTATAGAGAAAATCATGAAATAGTCTCAAAATATTAGTCGTGGAGACAGGCCATTGCATTCTTTGTAGTCAGTCAATGCATAATCAGAGGTCATCACATATCAAGATTTCACTCGACGCTATATATTGAAATGCTTTTCATTTGCAGCAAATTGCAGGCATATACGAGTCCATAAGGGTCATAAATTACTGATATTGATCATGTAAAAAATAAAGTTTGAAACATGAATTGCTCCCCTTCATATCATCTTCTCCTTATATTTCTTCTTCTTCTCTCTTGCCATGCCTCCTCCCAAGACTCTCCTCCTATCTTCCCTTTCTCCCCTTTCTCTTGTTTCCTTTCTATCTTTTCCCTTCTCATTTTCTCTCTCCTTCTCTAAATTATTCTTTATTGATGCAGATTCAACTGCAAGATAAGAAAAATATTATATTATTCTTTCATCCAATCATCAAAATCATCACCACCACCACCATCATCATCATCATCATCATCATCATATCATCATCATCATCATCATCATCATCATCATCATATCATCATCATCATCATCATCATCATCATCATCATCATCATCATCATCACCATCACCATCATGATCATCATCATCACCATCATCACCATCATGATCATCATCTCCATTATCACCATCACCATCATATTCATCATCACCATCATCATCATCATCTACAACATTATCATCATCATAAGGTAATTTAATAATGACATATAAATTAATGAAAAAATATGGGTCAGATAAGCTATGATTTGAGAAAATGTGAAGGGAAAACAGTAACACACAACAAATCATCCCTGTTTACATTCACACACCGTTACTGACCTTCTTTCTACGCCGAAAACTCCGGCTGATAACGACAGCTGATTGCGCTGGAGAGTCCTCCTCCAGATAAAATTCAGCACAAAATCAGTCCAAATTTCAGCCTCTTTGATGACACAAGAAGACGAACCAGTCGGACAAAGACGGATACAGTTTTTGAGAGACAAAACGGCTCAACTTAATTTCTATGAAGCAACACTAGTGTGAATACAAATGCGATTTTTAGCTGCTGCTATGCAGATTTGTGTAGCGGTTTTAGAAGCTAGCTGAGTAAGCGCAATGTAGCCTACCACCTGCAGTGTCTGGTGCAGAATAATCAAAACATTGAAGAGCGTTTTGATGACCATAGATGGCGCTCGTTCTCTGCAAGGAAAGATTCAAAGCTTACAGCTAGCTCTTCGAAATCAAAGTTTCAATCAATAGTTTTGATTTCGATGGTATATATATTTCATATATTTTCCACCACGTGGTTTTACGTGGATATCCGGACAGGATGGTTATGCGGACAGATAATTTGTTTTCAAACAGAAAAAAGACAAACGGCGGATCCAAAGGGAGGAGGGGGGGGGGGCACATGTTCACCACACAGATCATAAAAAATAGGCCATTGTATAGGGAATGCCTCCCCCAAGAATCTCCGATATACTTTTGAAATACTACCCCCCCCCCCTGCGCCATATAGGCCGCCACCCCCCCCCCCCCCCCCCGTTTTTAGTTCTTCTTCTGCCTAGCTTAGATGTCGGACCAGATTAATGGCAGCTTAATGGCAGCTTTAGACCCTAAAAATAGATTCTTTGATAGGGGTGCACCTCCCCTAAGATTCCCCGATATTTGTTTGCTATACACCCCCCCCCCCCCGCGCCTTATTTCATTAGTTTGTTTTTTGTTTTTCCCCAGCTTAGCTGTCGAATCCAGTAAAATGATAGGTTAGTGGCAACTTCAGGCACTAAAAAAAGACCCACATTTAGGGGCGACCTCACAAAAGTCTCCCAAATATTTTTTGCTATACTACCCCCCCCCCCCCCCTTACCGCCATAGGCCCCTATTTTCTTTCATGATAAGACAATTGACATGACGTTTATCTTACATCAACAACAACAATAATTTTGATTATAAATGGCCAGACTGGACAATTTTCTTTTTAAATATTGAGTTTTCCCGCCAAAAAAAAAAGATTTAATCAATCTTGGAATTCTTGTTTTCAAGTGATAACCTATCTAAGTGATTTTGTCAAAAACATGCATAGTCCAAGCCTCCAAGACATTCATGATGGCGTTCATTGGAAATGAAGTTTTAACAATGTACTTCAACTCTTCATCCTTGCTCTCATGTTAAAATCAGTCTCTAAAAAGATGGATTAAAGTGTGAAAAACCAAGAAAAGGACACATGTTTTCACGTGTAAGTAACTTATCTAACTCGTTTTCTTTACACAGTAATTTCCGCTAGCCGAGAGTAATAGGAAGTAAGTCAGAATAAATTATCTTGATACTAATATTAGAGGTCTTTGCTTCCATCCTGAAAAAATGCTTGACCTTCGGCTGTTGATGACCAAACCCTTCCAAAAATTAGTAAATAAAAAAAAATAAAAAAAACACAACAATAAATAGATATGTCATCACCCATTCACCTCAAAAGGGGGAAGGGCACATAATTATTTGAATTTGTGAACTTATAGAATATATGACTCTTTGTTTCCAAAAGACAACCATAACAAAATGGGGAAGGGGTCATCAGATGTTTTTAATGTTGACTTAAAGTTTTGGGAAATTCGAAAATTGGGTGGAGAGTGATTCTTTACAATTTTGATATATTTGGATGCCCCTGTAGATGTATTATAAGCACATGAAAAAATTAGCCCTTAAAACACTTCTCCTTTCGAGAAAAATTGAATATAAAAACTTACCGGTGCTCCCGGTAAATTTTGATAAATTTCAAATAGCGCCTGCGTTGTTGTTGTTCGTTTGGTATTATAATGGCTATTAGTCAAATTTGACTATTGTTGCCAATAGTCAATGCGGACGTACAATGGTAGCTGTGAATGTCCAAACGGGAATAGCTAATTGGTCGATTTTAGTCAAGAAACATTGTTTTATAGCTTAATTAATATCTTGACCTTGAGAGGGAACTATATAACATAAATAATTTATTATTTACAATTTCATAACTTAGACTCGATTTCAACCGTAAACACGATCCCTGAATATTGTAGGATCGCATTATGCTTCCAATATGTTCATTTGAACCAAATTCATGATCCCATCCCAAAACTTTGTATCACCTTTAACCAAATCGAGAAACTCTCTTGGAAATCATTGTATAAAGATTATTATGCAAAAACGGCGGGGGGAGGGGGTCCAATCAGGCAAAAAAAAAGAAGGAAAAAAAGGGCGACGGACGGTCCACTATACGCAGCATTTTATGACAAGGTAAACAAAAAGATGGGGTCCGGATCCCGTGATCCCTCTTTGTGGGGGGGGGGGGGGGGAGAACTATTTTCTTCTTCTTTTTCTTTGCTCAAGGGGAGGGGCCCCGGCCCCTACATCCGCCACTGGTATCAGAAGCGCTACCTTCAAGCGCAAAACGAGCATTTGAAGAAAATCAAATTTTGAACAGGCTTGGGACTGAAGTTATAGACTACATCCAAAGAGAAATCCAACATGGCGTCAAGAATTTCCCAAAATCTGCTGTCTAAATAAAGGTAAAAACTAGTCATTTTGACAATCATTATTAATATTTATGTATAGTTTTGTAATGGCGATTCCGTATTTCTTACTCTACATATCCTATGAATCATATCTTATATTGTAACAATGTGATTTTGTAGAGTAATTAGAACCATACGAGAAAGCGTATTGTAGAATTCTAAAATGTAGTCCCGTTCTGTCATAACTGTGTCTTGTTTATCCAAATTGTTGGTGTCGCGACGCTGCGCGGACGGGGACTCGACGGCTTGGTCTGAGCCTCGCGACAATGGGACCTCTGCGCATTCTTGCTTAAGCCTCGGAGCACAGGCTCGGATTTGATGCCCAATGATTAATTAGGAATAATGAAATCTATTTGGTGTTTGTTTATTAAATCTTATTCATGTTCTTTTTCTTTATTTATTTTAGGAAACTCTGTTTCTTTCAATTTGTCATGTTTTGTCACAGTGACTGAAATTGATTCAGTGATGTTGGACATGTGTTATTCTCTAAAATTTCCTTTTTATGTTGAAAGGAATGAAATTTCACTTTTGAAGTATTATTGCTTGGCATGTATGAAAGAACTAACCTTCTTTATTTAATAAAATTTCATTTAGAAAACATACAAGGAAGGTCTCTCCATCGATTTTGAAGGCAAACAATGTCAGGGACGCCTGGAGGTGGTGTTCAGACTCCAGCGATCCCCGTCCCCCAGGGTCTGCCTCCCTTAGGATTAACCATGCCTGGTATACAGACCCCTAACCCTGGGCCAGGAGGCAATATGATGGGTGTGGCACAGGCAGGAGGGATGCAGATGGTTCCTATGCAACCAATGGCAGGTGGAGGAGGAGGGGGAGGAGGGGCTAGTATTTCTCTCGGTCTACTTCTGGAGCATCTTGTCCAGAAAACCTACCATGAGCTGACTGTCCTGTCTGAACTGTAAGTTCCAAGTTGGATTTAAAAACATGATTTTTGATGAGACGATGAATGTACAATGCTTTAAAAGAGGAATTGATCATACTTGCATTGTGTTTTTCAATACTTGAAGAAAATTTGTTATCATGAGCCAAAAAATGTCTAATCCTTTGTGACTGCATGCAAGATTTCAAATATATGTCATTGCAGCATCACTTGTATGTTACATCTTGGCAGGCCAAGAATTTAACTTCTCATGGATGCTTTAAAGTAGAGTTTCACTTTGTGTCACTATTGCATTGATACTCTAGACTTGCTTAAGCATGTAAGTGCATTTGCGATTGTCTTTTCTACAAATTCTTTTACAAGTCACTGTACCTGGATGGGAAATCATGTCATTCTATCTTGAAATATGTAGAGTGTAACATAACCATATACATGTGTATGTACCATCATTCTAGTGTTTACCGTTATGTTGAAACCTTTATTCCTGTCCTAACACACAATTTTTCTTAACTTCTCAGATTACCTCGAAAGATGGACATGGAAAAGTGAGTACCGGTATTACAATATTGCTATCTTAACCTTGATGATGTGAATAGCTCTGGGCCCTGGAACATAAAAATGGACTTACAATAATTTGTAAAAATGTATTGTAGATGTCTCCAATCTTGCTACAAATAATGGTATCTTACCATGAATTGTATCATCTGTGACATCAAATTAGTTTTAAACTTACTATTAAGTGAAGGAGATACAATTAATAGATGCAATCAATTGTAACTCTTTTTGTTACGAGGCCTTAATAGATCATCCATATATATATCCATATCGTTAGAATTGAATATGGAGTGTCTTAAATGGATAATTTTATTTATCAGTCACTTATATCTGTTCTTTCCAACTTATTACACCTACAGGAAAATTGAGATTGTGAAGTTTGCCCGCAGTACAAGACAGTCCTTCATCCGTCTCTTAGCTCTGGTTAAGTGGGCCGGCAGTGCAGCTAAGGTGGACAAGTGTGCGGTGAGTAGAGTCTTAAATTGGCAACCTTCTAGAGCACTTGTCTCCTGTATTGGATAGATGGTAGAACTGTGTTAGAAATCCATGTTTAAGAGCGGAAGTTTTTATTAATTCAAAAGTTTTTTTTTATTGTACATTTCTGTGACGTTGTTCTGTACATGTAGATATATTTTTGCAAATTGCGGAATGTTGCAATTGTTACACCAATTATTAATTGTCATGAAGTTGTCATTATAATTTTGTTTGTATTGTTTTTCTTCCTGCAGGCGATTTCATTATTTTTAGACCAGCAATCATTTCTCTTGGTAGACACTGCTGACATGCTATCTAGAATGGCCAGGGAGAATCTTGTCCATGCAAGGTAAAAACGCATTTTTTTTTTGGGGGGGGGGGGGGGGGGGAAGGGGGTCAGAAGTGTGAGTTTATTTACAAAAAATTCCAGTTAATTTTGTGGATGAAATACTCATTAAATTTCATTTTGCTTATCAATTTGGAATTTCTAAGGACATAATTCTTGTTTTCAAGAAAAGAATTTAAAGTAGAAGCTTATGTGTAAATTTAACTGAAGATCACCTTTGAATTATTGAAGAGAAAAAATCATTTTGTGTTTGAAAATAACACCCCTTATTTAAATTGTGTGATTCTGGCTTCTTGCTCTTTACATTGGGTAGTGCAAGACTAATAAATCTTGTATATCTTTAATCAAAGCTATTCTTTGATATTTAGTGCATGTCATTTTGTTGTGTCATATTTTCCTCAGGTTGCCCAATTTCAACTTGCCCCATGCTGTGGACGTGCTAACGATGCGTCAGTACAAGCGCATGCCGGCATGCATCAAGGAACGCATCGTTCCTCCCGATCCCATCACATCCGTGGAGAAGGAGACCGTTCTTCATCGACTAGATCAGATTATCCAGCATAGATTGGTGACCAGTGAACTCCCTCCCCAGCTCGCTAACCTTACTATCGGTCAGTTTCTAGGACATTTTATTTGAGTTAAAGCCTATCTGCCCGGTCACTGACAGGTGGTTATCTCATCAAATCAGCTCTCAATTAACATAAGAAAAAGGGGACCATGGGGGACCAACAGTCACCGCTTAGGCATTGTTTGCTATATTATAGAGGGAGCAAGTAGATATAAGTATTGCAGTAGGGCTTTAATGAGAGTAATCTCCTCTTACATGTATTTATGAGGAGACTATTTTTATAGACTGAGATCATACAGCTAGTACATATCTTACTATGGGTTAGATTCTAGCTGTTTGCTATAGTTGGAGATATTTGTAATATAGAGATGTTATATCATATTGTGATATGCACTATACAAAAATGGTTTATTATTATTATTATACATTTTTAAATTGAATTGACTAGATTTAAAAGTAAGTGAATAAAGATTTCTAATTCACTCTTGTTTTGTAATGAAGGAAGAGATGGGAATTGATAGCTTTAAGAAAAAAATAATTAGAACATGGAACATTCTTGCATATGTATATATTGTAGAGTATTGTACATTGTAGAGTAAAATGTTCAGAATTCCTTGGGCATTTTTATTTTTGTTTTTCTTACAGAGGAAGGGAGAGTCAAGTTCCGTGTACCGCAGGAGTTTGAGGTAAGTTGAGTTGAAGGATGTTTGCAGGGCTTATACTTCTTTAATTATTATATCACATTTTGTTCTGATTATGCCTGACCCATTCCCAAAAGGAGCTTGACATTATTTTCTTAAGTTTCATGCAATTCCTATTTAATTTCCAGGATAAATTTACAGAATATTTCAAGATGAATTCTCATAAAGTCAAACAAAAATGACACGTAAAAACTGTCTAATAATAGAGTAATATGTAATAAAAGATGAGAAAAGTGATTTTGTAGGACTGAGCTTGTATATATGTTGCAGTATATGTGCATTATAAACAATCAAGAGTTGCTTAGAGTTGGTTGGCTTAAGCTAGTTTCTCACAAACTCCAATTCTAATACCACATCTCATTTTGATGAGCAGCAACTGTGATTGTCCTAACCCTTTCTCAAAAAAGTTGTCATTCTTGATAAATCGGTGTATTTGCTTCTCTTTCATGTACAGGTGACTCTGACTTTAATGGAAGATAACAAGACCATTCCATGGAGGTTACTCAATATTGAGATCCTGGTACAAGATCCTGATACTGGAGGTGAGGTTGTCAAGTTAAAATCACCCCTTCCACAATAGACTGGTTTACTAACATATTTAAAGTTGATGCACACTTTTTAAAGAAAGGTTGTTCTTGACAATCTGAAAGCTTGTCTGAGATTTGCCTGACATAGTAACAAGTATTATATGCAGACTGGATTCCGAGTATTGCAGTTCCTTCATTGATAACAGGTTAATCAAATAACTTTTCACTATGTCCCCAGGAAAGAACCATCCATAAATTTGAATATGTTAGTAAACTGTAGGCCAGAGGAGAAAATCAACTGGAAGGGAGGTTGACATCAGGATTGGATTTTAACCTGTTTAATATGATTTGCCTTTAATATAACACATAATTTATCAATAGACCCTTGACTCAGTTATACAGGGCTTAGTATTCAAAGGGTTAATTCATCTTGTGCCATACTTAACGGATCCCTTGTGCTATTCTTTTAAAGTAGATATTCATTGATTTTAAAAACTAACTTTATTTTCATTATTGCAAGGTTGACACTTTGATTCGACAACGTTATCAAAATTCAATGCTTGGAAACATTCGAAGTAATGATTATTATAAATTACAAAACGCTTAAAAAAAGCCCCGGCATAGCACCTGAAGATCTGTCCGAACGCTGCTGAGATGTGTGAGATCACAGCATGGACATGACTTGCACAAGCAGACGATGCCCCATTACATCTCACACATTTTCAGTGCCTGTGTTTTCATCTTCTCTTGAGTTCTTTCTCTTACTTCACTACCGTCAGGCTAAATGTATAATCTATTGCCTCACTCTAAACCCCGCGCATGTATTTATTTTGATGACAAATGCAACGATACAAAAATAAAGGAATCTGTCGCTTGTAAACAAAATAAGACGCCATTGTATATTCTGCTGCACACACCGGGGTATGTTCGGCGTTTCAAGAGGGAACAAATGCGGTCCTTAATATCATTCTGGGGGGTTTTCAGTTGAAAGTCTGGTTTCTTTGATTGTTAATTAACCCCTATCCTGTGTATTTACAAGCAAAAGATTTTAGTTATCAGAATCGGGTCATATCCCCTTTTGAATGGTTTGACATGCCATTACATTTATATACACTAAACTCATTATAATTTGAGAAATAATAGCTTTGCAATTATGTTCATTCTCTATGGGATGTCGTCTGCTTGGGCAGTGTTGGTCCATAGAGTGACGTCATTAAAACATCGTTATTTTTCCGGCGAATCTCTCGTATATCCCAGCTGTTATGGAGGTGGTTGTATTTGTATTTTTATAAATCACCGGATATGTAGTTGACCTATAACTTGTACGATGGCCATCTGTTAGCTTACCAGTTTCTAGTGATACATGAGTTGACATACTTGTGATTTTCTTTGAATTTCACCTTTAACAGGGTTATTGGTTTCAGCAAAACCTACAGATTTTAGACAAAATTGTCAGTGTCTTTTCATATTATTGATACATATCTGAGGTGAAATTTTAATTTCTTCCATGTCTTTTAGTTTGACTCGGTGGAAATAGATTATTAATAATTTCTGTAACAATGTAATATGCATTATAGATGATAGTTGCCAATTGTTTGCATGATAAGTGTGAGTGGCACCAAATAAATAATGTTTTTGTCAATATTCTCCCATTTTTCAGATGGTAAAACTCTGGTTCACCCTATACAGGTAAGTCCTTTGTGATCCAATTTCAAATGTAAATATTTTTTTCATTGACTCTTATTAAAAAAGATTGAGGAAATCTTCAATTTTCTAAATCAACTTTGTAAAACAAATTGGGGATGTTTTTTGTTAAGATTTACAAGTAACACTGATAATGTGATATGTTACATGTGTTCTATCTTGTTTCTAACATCAATACATTGTGCTTGTATGTATGGGTTATTTTGTAGTGTGTTTTCTTTACCATGTTTACTGTACAACTTTACAGGACTACATGTTTGATTTTGTTATCCTATTTAATATATGTTAATGATCAGATAATTGAGATTTACACTAAATGTAAGCCTATTCTAACTGTATTGGGTTGTTGTGTAGTTTATGAACAAATAGATTGAATGATTGTAAGTTATGTACTCAAATACCCAAACACATATCAATTAACTAAATTAACTTTTAACATTGATTTATTTGTCTCTATCCAGGTGATGTGCATTCATCAGCTGGTCCAGTCACGGCTGTTCGGAGATGACAAGCCTCTGGTGGACATGTACAACGTCATACGTATCCTTTATAACAATCATTAGTCATGTGAAAATCATGGTGCTGCCTTTGGTGTATAAAGAATACATCTGATTGTACAGACATAGTATTGTAAAAAAAATGAATCAAACAAACCTTGGTCAATCCGTAAGCGAATATGTAAATTGACTTTATTCCGATTGGTAGTGATGATACAAGTACCTGCAAATTAAAAGAGAAGTAATATCGTGTTCTATATGAGCTTTTGTTTTTCTAAATTTTTCACTCTATTGTAGCGTTCATAAATGTAAATTTGCCACACTCCACCAAGATGAGGTAAATGGGTACATATGGCTAAATGCTTGAGCTTCTTTTCATGGTGGCTCGGCTAAAGCCGGGGTAATAATATGATTGTAGGACCGTCCGAGAGAATAGTATTAATGATGAGGCTACCCTGTGTAAACAAGACATATTATTATCATTATTATCATGGATCATATCTTTGTCTTTACTCAAAAGATGGAACAAGGTTATTGCGTCACTTGCCATGGTCTTTAGATTCTTAAATAGAAAATTCTCTGCTTAATGTTGTTGACCTTAACTCCAACTCTTTCTTAGACACTTTCTGCCAGTCCTTACAGCTTGAGGTCCTATATTCACAGGTAAGATCCCTTTCATTCCATTTTTATGCCTCCGTTACGAAGTAACCGGAGGCATTATGTTTTCGGGTTGTCCGTCCGTCCGTCTGTACGTACGTACGTCCCGTTCTCGTGATCGCGTTATCTGAAGAAACGATCGATGGATTCCTGCCAAACTTTGGTCATGTATGTATCTTGCAGAGCCGATGAACTGATTAGATTTTGGGGTTACGAGGTCAAAGGTCAAAGGTCACAGGGCTCATTATGTATGCAAAAACAGCTCGTGATCGCGTTATCTGAAGAACCGATTGATGGATTCCTGCCAAACTTTGGTCATGTATGTATCTTGCAGAGTCAAAGAACTGATTAGATTTTGGGGTCATGAGGTTAAAGGTCAAAGGTCACAGGGCTCATTATGTATGCAAGAACAGCTCGTGATCGCGTTATCTCAAGAACCGAGTGATGGATTGCTGCCAAACTTAGGTCATGTATGTTACTTGCAGAACCGATGAAGTGATTAGATTTTGGGGTCACGAGGTCAAAGGTCAAAGGCCACAGCGCACATTATGTATGCAAAAACAGCTCATGATTGCGTTATCTCAAGAACCGATTGATCGATTGCTGCTAAACTTAGGTCATGTATGTTACTTGCAGAGCAGATGAACTGATTAGATTTTGGGGTCACGAGGTCAAAGGTCAAAGGCCACAACGCACATTATGTATGCAAAAACAGCTCGTGATCGCGTTCTCAAGAACCGATTGATGGATTCCTGCCAAAATTAGGTCATGTATGTTACTTGCAGAACCAATGAACTGAGTAGATTCTTGGTTCATAAGGTCAAAGGTCATGGGCTCATTATGTATGCAGAAATAGCTTGTGAACACATTCTCATTAGAACTGACAGATGGATTACTATTTAACTCAGGACATCTTGCAGAGCCAATGAACTGAGTAGATTTTAGGTTCATGAGGTCAAAGATCAAAGGGTCATATATGTATATGAGAAATTGCTTGTAATCACGATATTCTGAGAACCTGTTAATGGATTACAATTGAACTTGAATTCGAAAAATGTGTTCTGTTTTGGTTTGTAAAATTGCTCTATGACGGAGGCATCATTTTCGACTGCGCGCAGTCGAATTCCATCTAGTCTTATGAAGGGAATAATATTGTGGTAAAGTGTTTCAATGATTCATCAAAAGTGGGCATTGTTGATGTTGATGACTTGTTGACTTTACGTCTAATTTGTGATATTTGTAAATAAATGTTTTTTTATAGTAATGGTTTCAACCCAAATCTAACTTGGTTGTTAAGGGTAATACTGATCATATAAAGCACTTTGAAATATAATATTATACCAATGTACATGTTATTATTATTATTATTATTATTATGTTACAGGTGCAGAGGCTAATCAGTGAGAGATGGGGAGAGCATGTGACGATTGATAAATACACAGCTGGAGAATGTCTTATGATGTCATACTGGAGGTATGGGTTTCACATCGTCTTTTGATTTCATGTCTTTCTTCTTTTCTCCACCTAAATTTCGCCTTTGAACTGCATCTGTATTCCGAAAGAGTATTTGATAGCGCTGTTTTGTTATATGAGTTCAAAGATAGGCTAACATACATGTGGATAACCTTCAAACAAATTCCTCACCAAAAGAATTTACACTTGAAATATAATTAACCTATTTGATTGTTTATGTACTGTAATGATATCCTTGGCAGGTTTTTTTTTAATGATTCAAATTAAAATAACCAATTTCTAATTGAGAGCTTTTGTTTTAGTTATTTTGTTTTAAACCACAAATTGTATCAGACAAGTTTGGACCAATATGCTCCCACCCCAAAAATAATCTACTTTTCTCAGCTGTCATACATTTTGACACGATATTGGTCCCCCCCCCCCCCCCCTCCACTAAAAAATACATAATTTTGTATGCATCCATTCATTGTGTTATTTCAGATCCCAAAGCCTGCACGCTTCCAAGAAGCCTGAATTATTCAAGCTGACAGTGAGCATCGATGATGACGATGTGGCCAAGCCCCTCCAAGTGCTGCATGACCCCCCTCTGGATATGGTAGATGCCGCACACGTCAACCAGGCTATACGGGTAAGTCTCCTGTAGGAGATACCATTTTACATCACGGGGGAATCTATTTTACTGGTATTATGATTTTGGGATATTTTATTTATGAACATTTTTGGAATAATATTGTTAAGGTTGTCAAGATTAGAATATGTGAATCCTGTCTTATCAAGAGTTGTCAATCTGATAGTAACTTAATTTCAATCGCAGCTCTTTACTAGACAGATATGAGTTCATAACTTTTTGATTGATTTGATTGGAGAACTTGCAATAATTCTTGATTAGTTGCAACTCTAGGTAACTTGAGGCCCAAGGAGGCACAACATTTTTTTAAAACTCTTTATATATTAAATAGCACCACACTGTTTATTTTCTATTAGAAGTCATTTCTTAAAGAAGCATGAGCAATATAATTCTACTGTTAATCATGGTTGTTTATGAAATGCAAATGAAAAACATGACTGACACTTAAAAATGCTGAATTGTACCTGTAATCTATTTATTTTCCTCTCGGATTCTTGATGATTAGACGGTTCAGATTTGATTGAAACTACATATTTATTGCTATGATCAATGAAGCTATTCCCCTTTTGTTTGATTCTTTTTGTTTCAGTGTGATCACTTATCGGTAGAGAGACTCCTAGTGGAGACTGTACTGGTCAGATCAAGACTTAAACTCAAGGTAAGGTCTTATTCAATTAACACTCGGCTCATGCATGGGCTTGTATTCTCAGAAATCCTAACCTGGGCAGCGTTTCATGAAACCGTCATAAGTACAAGTTCACTGACAGCCCATTGAAACGCGTGTTAAACTTAATACACGCATTTCAATGGGATGTCGGTGAAATTGTACTTATGATGGTTTTGTGAGACCCTGCCCTAGTTCTCTGCTATGTGCCATCCTTCATTGTATTTTTCTGAAAACTTTCCATGACCCATTTCTCTACTTTCTCTGCATTTAGTCAAGTTAACTTGATTTAAAAGTGGACTTTCATGTTGATGTTATTTGTCCATACCATTTATTTTTATGCCTCCGCCACCGAAGGTGGTGCCGGAGGCATCATGTTTTCGGGTTGTCCGTCCGTACGTCCGTCCCGTTTGACCGTTATCACAATATCTCAAGAACCATTTAAGATTTAAACTTAAGACTCGGGAATAGTATTTATCACCATAGGAAGACGATCTGATTAGATTTTGGAGTACGTAGGTCAAAGGTCACAGGTCACAGAGGTCAACTTATGAAATTCCTTGTATTGAGTTTGTTAGCGCGATATCTCAAGAACCATTTGAGATTTAAACTTCAAACTTAAGGATAGTATGTATCACCATAGGAAGACGATCTGATTAGATTTTGGAGCACGTATGTCAAAGGTCAAGGGTCACAGAGGTCAACTTATGAAATTCCATACATTGAGATTGTTATCATAATATCTCAAGAACCACTGGAGATTTAAACTTCAAACTTAATGATAGTGTATATCACCATAGGAAGACAATCTGATTAGATTTTGGAGCACGTAGGTCAAAGGTCAAGGGTCACAGAGGTCAACTTATGAAATTCCATACATTGAGATCGTTATCGCGATATCTCAAGAACCACTGGAGAATTTTCACTTCAAACTTAATGATAGTATGTATCACCATATCATAATATCTCAAGAACCACTGGAGATTTAAACTTCAAACTTAATGATAGTGTGTATCACCATAGGAAGACAATCTGATTAGATTTTGGAGCACGTAGGTCAAAGGTCAAGGGTCACAGAGGTCAACTTATGAAATTCCATACATTGAGATTGTTATCATGATATCTCAAGAACCACTGGAGATTTAAACTCCAAACTTGTTTAAATTGCTCTATGGCGGAGGCATCATTTTCGACTGCGCGCAGTCAAAATTCCATCTAGTTTGATAATGTTCTGTGTCATGGCATTCTTGTACACCCCTGTGGATCATTTGCCTTAAAATGATGCCCTATTTCCTTAGCACATCCTGCAAAAATGTTCATTGCTTGTTATATTAGACATCAAAGTACATATTTACTATATATCTCTTCATAGCACTATTTATTGTGTTAACAGTGTTTTTTTACTACATGTAATTTAAACAATTTTATTTTTCCAGGGATTGCAAGAAGAGTTGGAGAAGGACCTCCCTGGCTGTAAATGTAAGTTAATCATCTATCACACTATCAATTCTCAGTAATCACATGCAAATTCTGATGTAATATATTATTCCTACTCATGAAAGAACAATAACTGTAGTAAACATACCAATATGGCTATCCAGGGGGGGGGGGGGTGTTTCACAAAACTTGTTCTCAGTGACAAATGACAGTTTTTGTTATAAGCTAATGAAATCCTTGCTTCTGATTGGTTATCAGCAGATTTGTCTCTGATTTGTGTCACTTGTCACTGACAAAAGGCTGTGTGAAACACCCCCATGTTTTTTTTTAATTAGGAGTACAGAATTTGTATATTTATACAGGTGGCCATGGTCCTCCTTTAATAGTAAGACGTATCTTAACATGTTAACAGTACTTTAAATCTTAAGCAAAGATATATTAGCTACATGCGATATGTTAATCACGGTAGAGGTTTACGGTACACCATGTGTAAAGTCCTAGAAGGACTAAGGAAAGTGGATAGAAAATAGAGGTGAAATAGAAAGGCGAGAAAGTGGAGGTTGGAAGGAAGAGTATCTTTCAGAAGTGAGTATAGTCCTGAAAAGGACTGTAAACCAGAAAATTGTAGATGGGATGAGAGGTTTGTGTAGAAGACTGGATTGAGTTGGAGAGTTGAGTAGAGTTGCAGAGCAGGAGCAGGAGAGTAGACTCGACGTTTCGGACAGGTTGACTGTCCGTCTTCAAGAGTGAGTGTTCGCTATGCGTGCGGCGGTCCTTATAATGGCGTGAGTGCGGACTTGGGGGAAAGCACTGGGCCGGCGGGCTCGGCGGGTTGGCAGGTAGCTGTCGGTGGTAGCGCTCGGTTGCGTGAATTGGCGGGAAACGAGTGGGAAGCGGTTTATGCAGACGTCGTGTGGTTGGTGTCGGCAGAGTAGCGGGCGGTGTGTCGGCTGATGAGTGGGTGTATCGATCGGCGGTGAGGACAGCTATTAGTGGTGTCGCTCTGTGTGTGTTGGTCGGCGGTTTCGGCGGGCAGGTCTCGGTGGGATCAGGTGGGTAGCTTGGTGGCGTCGGCGTAGGTTGTAGCGAGGTGTGGGCGTGGCCGGTGCTTGTGTGGGTGAAGTGGCTAGTTGAGAACGTGTAGTGCTTGTTTGAGTAGGAGTGGTTGGGTGGTTGCAGGTGGTGTCTGGGCTGACGGATGGATGGATAGGTGACGTGTTGGTGGTTGGCGTGCTGGTTGTGGAGTTGGTTGAAGATTGGTCGGAAGTAGAATGGTGAGGAAGGATTGGGTGCCAGATGCTGTTGATGTGAAGGCCTGGGTCTTGGGGTACGGTGTTGTGTTGGTGGATCTTGATGGCTTCTCGGACCCTTCGGGTGTGCCAATGTCGGATGGTGGTGATGAGGTGACTTTTATCCCAGTGAATGCGGTGGAGCTCTTGTTGTGCGTGCTTGACGATGGCTGACTTGTCCCAGTCGCTGCGTCGGTGGTGGGTCTTGTGTTCTTTGAGTCGGGTGTTGAAATCGCGGCCGGTTTCTCCAATATAGACTTTGCCGCAGTCGCAGGGAATCTTGTAGACGCCTGGTTGTTTGTTGGATGGATGCTTGTCCTTGTGAGAGTGAAGAGTGGAGTGAAGCTTGTGGCTGGATTGGTGTCTGACGAGGATGTTGGCTGAGCGGAGGATGCGTTGTAGTCGGTGTGATGTCTTGCCGATGTAGGGAAGTACGATGGTGGCGGTACGCTTGGTATCAGGTTGGGTTCCGGTGGTGATGTTGTTGGTCTTGTGGTAGGAAGTTCGGGTGTTGATTTTCCTTCTTGGGTACTGGTTGATGGAAGTGAGTGCGTGCGTGATGTGCTTGAGTTCTTGCTGGAGATGTGCTTTGTCACTGAGTTGGTGGGCTCGTCTGATGAGTGAGTTGGAGACTGATTGGTGGACTGACGGATGGTGGTGAGATCGGAAATTGAGGTAGCGGTCTGTGTGGGTTGGTTTCCGGTATACTTGGTGCGCGGGGAATCCTGATGGTGTCTTGGTGATGAGTACATCTAGGAAAGGGATTGAGTTGTCGTGTTGGGTCTTCATGGTGAACTTAATGCTGGGATGTTGGTTGTTGATGTGGTCGAGGAACTGGTGGAGGTCTGGTGTGCTGTGTGGCCAGATGACGAAGGTGTCGTCGACGTAGTCCGCACTCACGCCATTATAAGGACCGCCGCACGCATAGCGAACACTCACTCTTGAAGACGGACAGTCAACCCGTCCGAAACGTCGAGTCTACTCTCCTGCTCCTGCTCTGCAACTCTACTCAACTCTCCAACTCAATCCAGTCTTCTACTCAAACCTCTCATCCCATCTACAACTTTCTGGTTTACAGTCCTTTTCAGGACTATACTCACTTCTGAAAGATACTCTTCCTTCCAACCTCCACTTTCTCGCCTTTCTATTTCACCTCTATTTTCTATCCACTTTCCTTAGTCCTTCTAGGACTTTACACATGGTGTACCGTAAACCTCTACCGTGATTATTCATACCACCATGCAAACCTTCAAACATCATGCGATATGTTATCGGAGTTAATTAACTTTGGTAAATCTCTTGAGAAATAGTGAAGAGCACTATGTGCAATTAAACATAATGTGCATTGAAACTATTTGTCAGTCACTCACTTCAGATCCTTATCAATGACAATTCTTTTTAATTTATTCATTTTATCAAAGTCCTTGTATAACGCACATTGAAATTTATAATTAATATGCTATATAAAGTCAAACCTGCTTTAGTGACCACCTGCCTACAAAGACCTGATTTTGTTGTTTCCCTTGAAAATGGTTCCTCATTGAAACATGTATTATAGGCACCTGTCTTCAAAAACCACCTGCTCATAAAAACCACTTTTCTTGTCTCCCTTGGGTGGTCCTCATAGGGCGCGTTCATGCTTGATTTTGACGGCCAGAATCAGGCATCTGTTACGCGTTTAGTTTAAAACACGATTGCGTTCATGCTCACTTTTGTAGAATCACCGAAAAACGGCGATCACGATCGCCGATCGTAAACTCACAAAAAGATGCGTTTACAATTTGTAAACGCGTTTTAATAAATGGGGTCAACGCACTGACCTCTAGTGGGTCTACGTAGCATGCACAGTGCAGGTTGCGAATCCAGCTGCAAGGCCAATTAAGGCCACACAAGGAGAATTGCCTGGGGGAGCCAGAGAAGTAAGCATGAACAGTACACCGTGGAACTACGATCACGATGAGCGTTTACGATGAGCGTTTCAGATCGCTCATTCTGCCTTCAAAATCAAGCATTAACGCGCCCATAGACAGGTTTCACTGTACATGTAACATATTATTATTATCATTATCATGGCAGGTCATGTGGAAGGTTCCCCATCACTGCTGTACATACCTGTTGTAAAGCCTTGTAGTGAGGATGAACAGCTTATGGTGTCGGTTGATATGCAGACTGGATCATACATACCGAGCATTGCACACTGTGGTAAGTCCTGGATGAAGTATTATGGGTTAGAGAGGGAGAGAGAGAGGGAGAGAGAGAGAGAGAGAGAGAGGAAGAGGGGGAGAGAGAGAGAGAGACAGAGAGACAGAGGTTGACAGAAAGACAGACAAAAAGACATACAGACAGACAGACATACATATATACATACAGGCAGAGACAGACAGACAGACAGACATACATACAGGCAGAGAAAGACAGACTGAGAAAGAGAGATGGACAGAGAGAGAGAGAACAAAAGCTTTATGGAACTAGTTATTTTGAAGTGAAGAAGACGAGGTCAAAACAGAGAAGAAGACTAAACAAGGAGATGGTGTAATAGAAGCAAAATGGGTATTGGTTTTGATGGTTATTTTGTCGGTGATGATGATTACCGTGATATGACTAATAATGATGGTGATGGGGATGGGGATGGTGATTGTAATGATGATAATGATCATGATGTTAATAATGGTGATGATTTGAAAATATGATGATGGATATTATGATGAAGCCGATGAGTTAAACTGCTTTACTTTATAGTTGCCACTAGGTTTGTGTATATCACATCACATAGAACAATGTCCCTGGATGCTTCAAACTACTTTTGGAATTCTGATACGATTTTCTCTTCTTCCTGTTGTCTTTCAGGCTCCACACTCCTAGATGAGATAGACCAGGGTCTGAACCATGAACGTAGCAAGCTGGAACCTCTCATCGCAAAACTCAGGTACAGCATTAATGACAATTACAGTCGAACCTGTCTATAAAGACCACCCAAGGGAGACAAGGAAAGTGGTCGTTTCAGACAGGTGGTCTTTATGTACAGGTTCCTTTAGTATATGTTTCAATGAGAAACCATTTTCAAGGGAAACAAAAAATGTGGTCTTCGGTGGTCTTTGTAGACAGGTGGTCGCTAAACCAGATTTGACTGTATAATTATTATGATGAACATGTACAAGGTATTTGTATATCATCTGTTAGCTGATATACTTAAAGGAAACCAAAACCTTCATACTAAGTTACTTTTATTGTAAAGTTTAAAAGATTAGAATAAAATCAGTGAAAATTTGAACTAAATCGGGCAAGGAATAAGGAAGTAAGAGCTTTTTGAAATAACTAGTCACTAGAGGACGATGACATCATCTGTGAACAACTCTCCATGCCTTTTGTACATAAAATTTCACAATTGTTTTGTTTTCTTCGTATTTATTTGTGTTCTTGATCCGACTTCATAACATGTGAAGTAGAATATCATTTTGCATTCTATGTCATGCTTTCGGGGGAGTATATTATCTCAATCACAAGAAAGAAGGAAAAACATGAAATTTGATGTACAAAAGGCATGGAGAGTTGTCCACAGATGATATCATCAAATTGAATACCACCCTCTAGTGACTAGTCATTTCAAAAAGCTCTTACTTCCTTATTCCTTGCCCGATTTTGTTCAAATTTTCACTGATATTTTTCAAATATCTTAAACTTTACAATAAAAGTAACTTAGTATGAAGGTTTTGGTTTCCTTTAATACAGATTTATTGCCCTTCTGGCTCTAAATAGATGATATATAAGTTAAGAAATTTGCTAAGTGCTTTATATATCATGTAAATTTTTAGAAAAGAACAACTTACAGAATCAGTTGAAATCTTATATTTGGAATGGGCAGGTCATAGTCTTTTGTTGTAGATTATTTTTGTTTAGTTGAGATATATTGTTGCAAACACCTTTTTAGTACGCCATTGCGCAGTTGTGTAGTCTCTCCACCTAAGTGGAGCAATTCCGTATCCTCTAAGCACTAAAAGAATTAAGACCCCAGAGAATTGAGAGTTGATTTAGATCACTTAAAGCCCCACTGTACTACTCACACCCACTTGCACCCTCTACATAACAAACAATGCCTAATCGGTGACCGTTAGTCCCCCATGATCCCCTTTTTCTTATGTAAAGTGAGATCTTATTTGATGAAATAACCACCTGTCAGTGACCACGCAGGGAGGTCTAATCCCTACTGGCCAAACTAGTGCGGAGGAGCATTAAGGGAAATTTTGATAGTTGTTGAGGGAGTTACTTCCTGATTGATGGATGTTACTCATACTCACAAAACTTTTATTTGAATCTCTTTGATTATTTGTGAACTTATTTTGAAGGGTCCTGTTGTACAAAATACTCTGTTAGGGTTGTTGAGGAAGTTTCTTCCTGATTGATGTGATGTTACTCATACTCATAAAACTTCTATTTAAATCTCTTCAATTTTTGTGAACTTGTGTTTCAAGGGTCCTGTTGTACATGCGTCATTGCCAATACTCCGTCTCCATGCTCCCCGTCACCTTTCTCAAAGAGCTCCCTCTGGTGACGGTATCACCCGAGCACCCGGTGAATCGTCTCTTGCCTAATTACATCTACCTACGACTCACCCAGCATCCTCAGTATTATGTGGTAAGTATGGATGGGTGGAGGTGGTTTGTGTGGGAGAAGTGTTCATGCAGACATTATCGTATAGAAAAGAGTTTGATGTGCCATAATAATATTGGGTGTGTAATTGGGTCTTTTACAGACGTTTATCAATCAGATATGATTATTTACGTCTAACAACCTTTAACGTCACCATCTGAAAGACCCGACTCAGTTTCGAACCGGGGTCGTCTGAGCCAGTTTGTAGGCGAAGACAGAGAGCTGACCAAATGAACGTGACGCTAGACCAACTAGCATCTCCCAAGAATCTATCAATAATCTATGACATCTATAAAGCGCTTAGTACCATGTTTCTAAGCAAATAAAATGCTAGAACTCTTTTCTTAACCATCCTGTTGAAACTGATGAGCAACTTTTGTCAATCATCAGTTAGATTTGTTGATTATTTATTGATATATTGAATGACTGAGTGGTGCAGAAAGCAGAGAGAGAGAGAGAGAGAGACAGACAGAGAGACAGATACAGAAACAGACAGAGACAGAAAGAGAGAAAAGAGTGAGAGAGAGAGAGAGAGAGAGAGAGAGAGAGAGAGAGTGAGAGTGAAATAAGAGAAAGACAGGGGGTAAAGAAACATAAAAAGACGAGTTCACATCCTCAACCTTTGAGTGAAGACCCCCTCCCCCTCAATGTTTGAACCCATGCTACACCTCTAACCGTAAATCACACCCCTTTATCTCTATGACAGGTGGTTGACTTTGCCCTCGGTAAGGGCCTCGGTGACTTCCTATGTCGCTATCATCTCATGCGCTGCAGCTCCGCCTCCTACATCGACGCCCAGACCATACCCCAAGGCGGGGCCGCTCCGTCCGCTCAGAAGGACACGCCCGAGACAACGGAGAAGTACCTCCACCCCGATGTATTCGTTGACTTGGATCATTCCACTATATTGAGGGGGCCGGATACATCGGTGGAGGGTAAGTTTTAGACGTAAAGGTTGTATCAAATGGTTCCATTTAATGGTTGATGATTGTTTTACCTGACTGCTAAGAAAGCAGCCTGGGGACGGAGGGATTTGGTAATGAGGGTTCATGCCTTACCAAAGGGCATGAGCGCATTGACTTGGTTTTAAACCCGGGAGCTCTGCTAATACTGCTGCACCACTGAGCCATCTTACCTCCTTTAATTAGTCATAAGTTAATTTCCATGGATTGCATTTAAAGATAAACTTGAGTTCTGGTTAAAAAAGAAAATTAATTCTCACAGAATCAAACAAAACTTACACTGAATGTTCAAAATTACAAATAAATGCCATTTGCCAAACAATTTGGTAGAAAATGTATACTGGCTGAGCAATGAGCATAGAAAGATAAGGAAATCAAGGTAAGTAGCCCCGACACAATTTGTGTAGTCCCATATACATCTTTCTGGGTACAGTGCTTGTTACTTTACCAAGACTGGGCAAAATTTATTATGATTTTGATGTCTCCAGAACCTTGGAGTGCACACCAATACTTACATGCTACATGATCAACTATTTCTGATACATTCCACACCTTTTCTTTCACAATGCAATCGCATACTAGAACTCAACTTTATATTTAATAAGTTTTAATCTGTCGAATGATTTGGATCATTACCATCATTTTACTATTAAGATTCCCATTAAAAATAACAGACAGTGAGAGGAATAGTCCTTGTAAAAACTTTTAAGAACCGAACATGACCGTAACACACTATGTTGAGTGGGCAGTAATCAGAAGATAGATGAGGACAGGCTTTGTTTTCATTTTATTTCTTCTTTAAGAAGAATGAATAAAATTCTTGCAAAAAATAAAGAGAGGTTTATGGGTATCCTGTAATTTTGTGTATTTTTCTGTTTCCTTACAGATCTGGATGTTGACGATGATGAAAAGAAAAGGAAGGTAAGTGAAATCTTTACTGACTACTACATATATAAAAGGATGTATTAAGACATCTGCATTTCAAATGAAAATCCAAACATCTTTCTATGAGGTCACTTATAAATAACTATGTATTTCTAATAAGCTAGTTCATAGTTGCAGTCTGAGCATGAGCAGATACAGGTCATTGCAGACCAAATTGTGAAATACATGGAGACAAAGTACTGGATACGTGCTCATGAAAGTTATGTCATCATTATTCATTTATGCACAAGCAGTGCACTCCAGGTGGAAGTATTCTTTGAAAAGGGGAAACAAAGGCTATTTATATAGCACCTCCATCGCTATAGGAGTGATTATTTCATAATGTACAAAGTGGGACCTCTTCATGTTTTGGAGATCTGTAGATATTCAGGGTTTTGTGAGACACTTCCCTGAATCACTCTCCACCAAGGTGAAATTAATGGGTACCTACTAGGAGGAATGCTTGAGCGCCTTATCATGATAGTTTGGCTAAAGCTGGGGTAATAATATATATGCAAGGCCTTCAAGGAGAACAGTATTGGTACTGTTGAGGCTACCCTGGGTAAACAAGACATTCTTATTATAATTTTTTGATTAATATAACAGTATGATTATAAAAAAGGCTGTAAAAATATTGGGTATCTTTGCCTCAGATTCTAAACAAAATCCTGGATTTAGCTCATGCTGCAATCATAATTATAATAATATAATTATAAGCAGATCCCATCTTTGATTATCAAGATATTTATGATTGGAATTGGAAATTTAGAAACCGTTTTCCCAAAGCTTTTGATAACACTACAGTCTCTTGGGGAAAATGAGTATGGTAAAACTGGCCTCTCAAAGATTTTTACTTTTTTGAGGCACTCCATGATTATTTTGAAGCGCAATGTTTTTTAGGGCTTCAATATTACACCATATCACAGATACTGATAACATTGTTAAACGATGCCTTTAAATACAGATCATGTTTTACACGTATCATTTCAGGTTCATCATATCACTGCAGGGGAGCACAAGAGGAAGAAATTGACGAGCTATTGTGAATTCTTCAACTACACACTCTCCCATGTGGTTTCCTTATGCAACATACGCATTCCATTCATCAAACTCTGTGAAGAGGTAAGTGATTTATAACACCCATCGCCCTGAGTTAGGTCAACCTTTGGATATGTTTATTTTCTATTTTGTGTCTAATCTTCCTGAAGTGGATTGTCAGTGATTGTCACTGTCGTTGATGTCATGGATGATGTCATTCACAATGTAATTGACTTTGTCATTAACCATTTAGTTGAAATTGTCACAGACATTCTTTTAACGCTGTCATTCCTATTTCCATTTATATTTTCATTGATACTTTCATTGATATAATTGTTATTATTGTCATTGATATTGCCATCGTCTTTTTAATTAATATTGCCATCGTCTTTTTAATTAATATTGCCATCGTCTTTTTAATTAATATTGTTATTATCATTACCAGCTGTCCCAGAACAATCTAGCTCACCAGGGCATCCAAGTAGAAGGAGAAGGGGTGGGGCTCGTCATCAAACTCTGCTCCCTCCCACCTTGCAAAGGGGTTGCCAAGGAAACCAGTATGGCACTGAATGCTGCCCTCTTGGACTGCTCGTTCAGACTCCATAAGAATCAGCACGGCATGTGGCAAGTTCAGGTATGTCTAAAATATCAGATCAATCAATTGAGCATTACATTTATAAAAACAATCAATTGTTGTATAGAAATTTTGTGTGGTTGCGCCTATTAAATTGAATTGAATTGAACTTTATTTGTTTCCAATCACAGTAAAAATGACATTATACATTATTGTAATACATGCATAGGCAATCTATAAACAACGCAACATCCCCTCCATGACCATTCAAGCGAGGAGCTTGGTAAAACAAATAACCAGAAAGATTAAAAATGCTACTTTTGTTATACATCCAAGTTTCAGTAAGTCATATAGCAGTAAATGGAAAATTTAGCGACATTAAATAATCAAACTTCTTGCATTAAAATGAATAAGGCTAAAATCAATAGGCTTCATAGATTGGACCCTGTTAAGAAATTCCACTTCGTTGAAGTATTTTGACTCAGATAAATTATCAAATAAATTCTCAATTGTATCATCTTGAGAAGTAAGATAGCGTATAAAATTTCTGATTGCAGATTCATATTAACAGTTGAGATCAGAAGAAAATTTACCAGCATAAAAGAACTCTCGCAAATCAAAATCACTGACATCATGAAATGGAAATTATACAAATTTGGTTGATTACATTGACAAGCTTGCATAGACATTTAAATAAATAAATAAAGTATAACAAATAATTATAAGGGTTGGGTGAAGGTTACAAAAATCCTAATCGAGTTTCTCAAGGCCATTTTGATTGCTCACCGGAATTTTGCGTCCATCCTTGGTGTGGGAGAAGATCTTCCCATTGGACGACCAGGTATGGACAGTGTTTGTATGTTTCAATGCTTTGAAGAAGAGCTCTTGACGTCGGGGTCAAATCTTCTCTGATCGCAATGCCAGTGTTCTTTAGTTTCGACTTAGCTGAGTACATGAGGTAATGAGCGTTGTATCTCGCAAACTTTACGATGAGTGGTTTGATGTCGAGGAAGCTTGATGTCGAGTGGTTGTTGAGTTGCAAGGACTCGGCCTCTAGGATACCCTCAAGGTACGCCTTGCGGGAGTGGTAGAGCTTGAAACGCATGGCAAAGAACTTTCGTAGGATCTCTTTAACGACAATGGTTTGCTTTTGCTGAATGTCTCTCAGTGTTTGATTCTGCTCTCTCGTGAATCTTTGTGCGAAATAGAGACTGCGTGCTCGATCTTGTAACTGAAAACAAGTCAGAAAAAAATCTAGGAACCAGCGGGATTCGAACCTGCCATTGATCAATTCAGTCTGGTATGGTTTGATTCAATACCTTTCAGTGCTGTCAAAACGAGCTTCGGGCGATGTGGTTTGGTTCAGTCTTAGAAAGAAAAAAAATTCTGAATGTGTGTGTGTAATTTGATTCGGTTTATTGAAATAAAAGAACATGCAGCTGGGAAACTGAAATTATTCAATTTACAAAGTCAATATACAACACAATAAACGATCAAAATATGCATGACTAAAATGTACGACTATAAATCATGCATATTGAAACAAAATGAGAATCAAATATTACATCAAAATTAAATATATTACAAACATTAAATCAAAATCTAAATATATTACAAATATTACGTTAAAATTTAAATATATTACAAGTATTAAAAACATTAAAAACCTTCTGTGTCATCAAAATAGTAGAGAGAGAGAGAGAGAGAGAGAGAAAGAGAAAGATGGTACTAGAAATTGGGTTTTTGTAGATTTAAACATTTTGACATTCTGTTGTTATACAGTAGGCTTGCGGGCGCACCATGTGAGAGAGAGGGAGGATTGAGGAGTCCTGAGAAGGACTCTCGGTAATCTTTCTTGAGGGTTTGTAGTCCTGAAAAGGACTGTTTGGTATAGTCTTGAAAAAGACTGTTGGTTATCTTTCTTAGCTTATAGTGCTAAGGAGAACTATAGCGCTTGGAGAGGATGAGTGGCGGGAGTGGCTCAACGTTTCGAACATTTTTTACTATCCCCCGTTGTCATCAAGCCTACTGTATATTTACATCACCTGCAAGCCGACACTTACAAGCAGCATTCTGTTGTTGTTGCTTAGTATGTTATAGATGAACATCCTTGGAAGAGGAAAAAAAAGATTACAGAAAAACTTGTCTCTGTCAGTCAGATTATCAAGAATTCTGTGTGTATCGAATTACAGATAATCCTAAAAATCAATGATAATTTTCATAATAGGGCTTTCTTACCACCTTTCAGATTAATTTTCTAACTTAATCACAGGAAATGTAATGGTTTTATTTGATTGTATCTTTTCACTGTTAATTCTCAGATGGTGTTTGCAAATTGTCCTGTCACAAGCTGTTCATCCAGAGAGCAAGGTGAGGTTGTGATAAATGTAGAAATTTCCTTTTTTTAAAGTATTCTACATAATATTCTACATAATATTTACATAATTATATAAAGATTTGAATCAACAATAGAATTCGGCAAATTGCATTTTGGTCTTACCAATGTTCTAGGTAGGTCGAATCTGTCACAATGTGTTTCACTAGAAATGTCTGCATGTTGAAATTGCTAGCTAACAATTGCAATTGCTTATAATCATAACAAATATTAACAAATTTTAATAAATGACATAAATCCTTAAGAGTTCTCTCTTTTAATGGCCTATCTTTGTTGTTGTTTTCATATATGAATAATAATTTTTTTGATAAAATATACATGAATGTTGCTTTGTGTATTTAGATGTCTAAATGTTAGCATCTTTAACTGACAGAGGTACAAATCAGATACATTTAAAGCCCCACTGTACTACGTGCAGCTACTTGCTTTCTCCATATATAAAACAATGCCTAAGCGGCGCCTGTTGGTGCCCAATGATCCTCTTTTTCTCATGTTAAATGAGAGCTGAGTTGATGAGATAGCCACCTGTCAGTGACCACACCGGGTGGTCTAAATCCCTCCTGGCCAAACTAGTATAGACAGGCTTTAAACAATTTGTTTTCCCCTTTAGGTTCAACTCGTCTGGTCTACCTGTTCTACAAGGTCCTTGGCAGTCACTCCGTAGTCAAGCAGTTCCAACGGGATTGGGACTCCATTGGACGCCTCTATCATTTGACCCTTGACCTCCCAATATGGCTGCCGTACCTCACCCTGTCTCATTCTTCACGCTCGAGCCTGATACAGGGTAAGACTGATTGTTAAAGACATTGCACTTTTGGTTTGCCTGCTCTAGGTTCCTAGTGCAATCGATGTCTTTTATAATAATAATAATAATATAATAATAATAATATAATAATAATAATAATAATAATATGTCTTGTTTACCCAGGGTAGCCTTATCAGTATTCATATTTAGGAACGCTAAAAACAGGAAGTACCATAGCGCTTACAAATACAAATATATGAAAGGAGGACAATGTCTCACAGGGACTGATCAAATGTTTTACTATGGCATATGTTTGATGCTCGAGCCAATACACAGAACACATTCCATCCCACAGCCTCAATTCTGATAAATATAGGATTCAATTCAATTCAAAGTTTATTCAACACTCTTCATAAAAAACATTTAAAACATATAAATACAGAATGGAATAATAATAAAAAAACAAGAAAGTGATAACAATGGCAATTTATAAGAGCATTTGGGATAGGCAGAAAGGAGGGATTCCGTATCTAAAAGCCTACCCCTAAAAAACACACATACAGGAAAAAAAAGAAACAAGAATATAAGAACCGAACAAAAAAAACACAAACATACTAAAACATACTATCATGTACGATCAGAGTAAAAAATAGTGTCAAACTTGCCCATGCTAGTAATTAATGATTATATCTGCAATTAATGATTACACGACAAAGGATATTACAATTACTTAACTAGCTAAGCATTCTCTCCTCACTTTTCAGAATATCTTATATTAATGTGGAGGGATTTGATTTAATATAATCTGTACTTTTTGTGTTTTCTTTCTCCTTTTTTTCTTCAAAACAGACAATCCTCCCTTCACTACGTTGGTTGATATCCAATCATTCACATACCAGAAGATCACTATAGCATATGGAAAGGACAGATCAAGCACCGTAAGTTTTTGTTTTCAATTTTTCTCCAAAGAGTTGATTAAAATGAAATTTGTGCTGTATTTTGATGCTTGCAATGTGTGAGGGTTATTTACGGTATGTGAAACAATTTAATTTATTAAATATTTAAAAGACTGTCATATGCTATTACCAAATTGTGATATATAGCTATTTGATAACAATTTGCATAAAATTGTTTTACCTACAGTAAATACAACTGTTCTCATCTGACTGTATATCACAATTTAGTGATAATATCTGAGTCCTTTAAGTGTTTAATGAATTTAATTTGATTTGAAAAGTATAGCCAATAGTATTTAAATAAGTCAGGAAATAGTCAAGCTTTCCTTATCAACATTGAATATGTGGAGGGGGAAAGAGACCTGGCCAAACCAATTTTATTAATTACTTATTGCCCTTTTCTTCCTCCTCCTTTGGTGACATTGTAATATACAACATACATGTAGATGGCCATTTTTGGTGATGATTGTGGGAATAACAAATTTTCTTTCATGAAATCTGTGACATGATTATGGAGGATGTTGTTCAATGTTGTGACTCCCCCTCAAAAAAAAAGGTCTGTTCTTGAAATTTCCATTTATTCACTGTTTTGTTGTTGTTATTGTTGTTGTCTTTGATAGGTTATGGTGTGTTGGGATCCAGATATTCTGAGGTTTCGACTCATCTTCAGTGCTGTGGGTTCGACGTCAACAGCAAACTGTCACACCATGGTGCAGTCGTACCTTGAACATGAACTGAATGAGGAACAGAGTCTGCCAAAACTCATCAAGGTTTGTAGAGAGAGAGAGGGAAGGAGGGAGGGAGGGAGAGAGAGAGAGAGAGAGAGAGAGAGAGAGAGAGAGAGAGAGAGAGAGAGAAGAGGGAAGAGGGAAAGAGAGATGGAGAATAAGATGAACAGGTAGATTTTATAACAGGAGTGAGGAAACGATTGAAAAGTAGAGGATAAAGATAAAACTAACGATAAATTGGGTGAGAAAAGCATAATTTTATGGCACAAAGCAGAATCATAAGTTCAATAGTTAGTATAATTTTGATACATGTACCTCTTATGTAATTTAAGAAGAGATAGGAAAACATTCAGAAGAGACAGAGACAGACACACAGAGAGAAAGAGAGAGAGAGACCATAAAAACACCAGAGAAATGAACGACAGAATGAATATGATACAAGAGTGGCAAAGAAAAGACAGAAGATGGATGAAGGTGGATGGGAGGGGGAGACAAATACCCCATCATATTTACAAAATGCAATTATTGTTATTCTCCATTCTATTCTTTGTCCACCCCACCACAGAGTCTGTGTGAGAGCCAGGGACCCCTCCATGCGATCTGCAGGCTGCCTCTCATCCCGTCCTTGGGACTGATAGCCGCAACCAATCAGGTCGCAGGACCCATCCACAAGTTTGCCCTCTGCCCTCAATCCAGCACCCATTACAGGGTTGTCTTCCACAATGCGTACTGCTTGGATATCCATTGCAAGGGAAAGAATACGGTGGCTGTCAGAGGTATGGCTTTATCTATCTCTATCTCTTTCTCCCTCCCTAATTGTCTTTTGTTTTCTCTCATTTTCTGTCTGTCCATCTGTCTTTTACTTCTTAGCTCTCTCTCTCTCTCTCTCTCTCTCACTCACTCTCCTCATTCTCCCCCATTTTCATTCTCTCTGTCTCTGTTTTGCTTTCTGTTGCTCTCTCTCTCTTCCTCCTTCTCTGACTACCCTTTTTTCCTCTCTTATTTCCTGTCTGTCGCCTGTCTATCTGTCTTTCACTTCTTCGCTCTCCCTCACTCTCCCACTCTTTCTCTCACCCTCATCCCTCACAAAGGATCACCACGCCTTCAAGTTAAGCTTACGTGGCAATCCTTCTTCAAGATTATTTAATGTTAGTATTACAATGTGAGTATTTTACATTGATGATGTATTAATTATATGATTTGTTTATAATCATGATTATGTTGTAATAGCTTGTAGCTTTGGAAAAAGATTATGAGAAAAATATTTATAAAATGAAAAAAATTAATTCTCTGTCTCTAATTTTCTTTTTGTCTCCCTCTATCTTTCCATGTCTTTTTCTCCCTCTTTGTTTCTTTCTGTCTCTTTTTCTCTCTTTCTGACTCTGTCTTTCTCCATCCTTCCATCAGTCTGCCTGTTTTATTTTCTCTCTCTCTCACTTTGTGTGTATATTTGTCCTTCTTTCCTCCTATTAGTTTTACCTACATTTTATATCATAGAGTAAACAGTACATGACTTTACATTTCTCTATTTAAACAAAAATGTCACCTATATTATTGTAAAATTTACTGATGTCATGTTTTGCTTTTCTATCGCTTTCAGATGGAGCGTTCAGTTTGTTTGATATGAGGAAGGTTGTGGAAGGTCTCTATACAGTACCGAACCTCAAGGTGAGTGTCCAGTCTTATACCCTCAAGTCTCGTTTACATACAAAATAGTAGACTGCCTAAAAAAAATAAAAGAAAGCTAATGAGTCAAAATACAATGACAGTGCAGTGCACTGTTCTTCAACACACTGATAAATGAGTGATTTTGCATAGGGGTCTTTTATTGCACACAGCTACATTTTGCAAAATAGTTTTCATTTTGATGAAGCTGTGTTTTAGCATGTTTATTGATTGTGCTTACATTTTCTACTCCTTTTGATTCTTACGATAAAAAATAAAAAAAGTAAAATGTGTAGAAATATGATCATACATCATAAAGTATTGGTAAAGAATATGTACTCTTTTAATCTGCCAGCATCATAAGACTGTAAAAGGAATTAAAAATGGGAAAGAATTCATTTGTCGTTGGTACAATGTTTTTTTGTTGTTGGTAAAATGAATTTATTGATAAATATATGCATTTGAACAAATCAAACAATCAATTGAAATAACATTGTAACATGATTCAAATAAAACATGTTTCGGTTTCTTGAATAACAGTGTTTTCAAAAATGCATACCTATTTTGTTTTCTTTAATCGGTTATGGATTAATCTTTTGAAAATACAAAGAATAGAGACTTCATGAAACCTAATTTTGCGATTTACTGCTTGCATAAATGTTGGTACGATGTTAATTCTTCCAATCACATGTATGTTGACCACTTGTTTCCTATCACCTACCAGGCATTCCTGGAGCTCTTCATCGACGAAACGGTATCCTACCACCACCAGCATCGTAACAGCCGCACCCTCCCGGCCAACGAGGATGACGGTAACCCCATCTCCCCCATGAACATCGATGCAGGCCCCACCCCACCGGATCCCTACCTCCCCACCCAGGTCTCAGGGTACCCCTCAGGGGCGTCGCCCATGTCCAGGGCGGGGCTCGGTCAGGGTGGATCGGGAGGCTTCGCTTACCCCATGACCCCGCCCACGGCACCAGGTGGACCGGGGAGTAGCAATCCAGCGACCCCTGCCTCACCTCACACGTCGGTCCTATCACAACAGCAGGTAGGTGTATATGTTATAGAGAAATTTTAAGGCATTTTAAATAGAACGTAAACAGAATATCGCTATGATGTCATGCACACGTAGGGCTCCTTTATTGCCTTTGTAAAATACACATTTCCTAAAATTGAAATTTTATCATGAAAAGGTAATCTTAAGTGCTGATGGAAACAAAATTTTTTTTCCCACCCTTCCAATGTTTAATGTTTTATCTTTAAATGTTAAGACTAAGTCCTGGTTAAGTTTTTCAGAGTATTTTTATCAAGATATTTGCTGTCATGATAAATAATAGATGAATATATTTTGAGAGAGTTTGAGAGTGTTGGTTCCTTTCTTTATAGTATTATGCCTTGTTTCCTAGTTCCTCTCAGTGATGAATTTATTTTGAGATAGTTTGTATTCTCGTCCTTTTTTTGTAGCATTATACCATGTCACTTGGTGCATCTCATTGATAAATCATATTTGATTTTGTGTATTGATTGATTTCTGTGTAGTATCATGTCCCATCTCCTAGTCCTATAATATTGATGAATATATTTAAAAACCGAATATATTTCTTCATTTTCTTGTAGCATTATGCCATGTCACCCGGTGCGTACCCTCTAGCATCGCCCCCTTCCATCCCTGGACCTTCCCCATCGGCCGTCATGAAGGGAACACCATCACCAGGTAAAACAATTGCATTCCATCTGTTTTCTGCTTATTCTCTTCCTCCTTCTGTCCTCTTGGAATCGGTCATTAATCATGGTCCCCACTCTCTTCTGTGTCTTACTCTCTTACTCACTCTCTTTTCCTCTTTCTCTCTCTCTCTCCATCTATATTTCTCTCTCTCTCTCTCTCTCTCCCTCTCTCTCTCTCTCTCTCTCTCTATCTGTCTCGCTTGCTCTCTGTTTTGCTCTCTTTATTTCTGGTGTCTCTCTCTCTCTCTCTGTCTCTCTCTTTCTCTATCTAGTCCCTTCTTCTCTTCCTTTTCTCTGTCTCAGTGCTTCTCTCTTGCTCTTTAAGTCCTTCTCCTCATATCCTTGTATTTCTTCTGATTGACTGATATATACAGTATATATATATATACAAAATATAACATTTGATTTATATCTGTGTCCTATCGTTGCCCATTCTCTCTGTATCACCCCCTTTCTTTCTCTCCCCCTCTCTATATCTTGCTCCCCCTCTATATCTCCCCCTTTTCTCCCTCTCCTCTCCTCTCCCCTTTGTAAGTCTGTCTCTCTCTGTTTCTGTCTCTGTCTTTGTCTCTGTCTCTAACTCTCTAACCTCTCCCTCTTGCACACTCTCTAACTCTCTCTCTCTCTTTCTTTGCCCCCTCCCAGGTTTAGTCGAGGGAGGATCGCCCTTCACCTCCTCCATGGGTCTCACCATGCCATCCCCCGGATCCCGCCAGTGGCCCGGCAGCCCCTCCATGCCAGGGCCCTCCCCCGTCCAGCGCTTTGGTATGGCCCAGTCTCCCGGTGGTAGCATGGGACCATCCACTCACTCCCCGGGGAGTAGCGGCATGACCGGACAGCAGGGACAAGTTGGTGAGTGAAATAAATCATTCAATCTCTCCTGTATGACTTGATTAAATGTTGATTACCAATGTCGATTACCAATGTGGATTACCAATGTCGATTACCAACGTCGATTACCAATGTCGATTACGGATGATTACCAATGTTGATTACCAATGTAAGGTACACAAGGAACTTCTATCCATTGAATAGCTGAGTGGAAAGAGAAAATGGTTAAAATGTCTTCTCTGAGAAATCTGTAAGCAAAATTTTTTGGTTTTATTTGCTCAGTGTACCCAAACCAGTTCTAATAATGCTCTTCCAGCGAGCCTTACAGGTACTACAGTCAAAGCTGCTTTAGTGACTACCTGTCTACAAAGACCACATTTTTTGTTTCCCTTGAAAATGGTTTCTCGTTGAAACATGTACTATAGGCACCAGTACATCAAGACGACCTGTCTTTAAAGACGACTTTTCTTGTCTCCCTTGGGTGGTCTTTATAAACAGGTTTCACTGTATTAACCTAGCAATGCCAGGTACCCATGCAATCACTCCTGGGGGGTGTTTCATAAAGCTGTTCGTAAAGTTAGGCATGACTTTACGAACGACTTGTATATGAAGTGCCAGAAAGGATGCCCAAAGTTTTTCCTGATGTTTTAACAAAGTGTGACTATATTTCCATTAACCCCAATTAAATTATGGCAAAAAAATATACTTCACATTAAGAACGTTTGTTATAATGAGATTGTTAATCTACATCCGCACAGTTCAACTTTAGTTGATGCAGTTAATAATGATTGAGCATCCCATTCGGCTTTTCATATTTAAGTCGTTCGTAAAGTCATGCGTAACTTTAAGAACAGCTTTATGAAACAACTCCCTAGATTTAAACTAAACAACTTAATGTTTCTTAATGCGTACTGAATAACAACAGACAAGCAGAATTCTTCATGTCGAGTTCTCTATCACACCCATTTCAGTGCCCCGCCAGACGAGGGTCCTCCCTCCCCGTAACCTGGCCACCTCTCTGCCGACCATCCTCTCCCACGAGGCGCTCCACCGCATGTTCACCCCGGCGGCGATCCACGGCACACCCACCACGCCCCTCACCTACCTGTGCGCTCCTATAGAACGTTTCCTGGGATCCACCTACCTCCAGAGACACCTGAAGAGAGTTATCAATGCTGAACAGGTATGTCTCTGGGTGCATTATCATCTTTTTCCACTCAAAAACAGCATTTCTTTACATGCATATTGAACCCGACTATATCAAGTCGTCACAATTTGAAATAAAGCCTAGTCTCTGCGCAACTGCTTTGCACCATTGACTCGGGAAGCAGAGAATTGCTCGGAGGTCAACTAGGGCACAGCACATGGCACTATTTTTCTTAACGGGAAATAAGCCTGGGGAAGGTCCGATATGTATGTGTGTTTCAAAACAGCTTTGCATTTATCACCTCTTAAAAACTTGATTCTGGCTCTATGTCACATTCAAAATGCACTTTTTCTTTGGCGTTTCAATATACCCATATCTAAAGACGTTTGATAACAGGCTTGCGTTTATTACCATGCAATTTTGCCTGAAACACATTTGATGACGCTGATCATAGGCCAGTAAAGGGATGATCAACGCACCCTTTATCCTTCTACTAACCTATTACTTACTGGAACCAGGGGTATCATGTATTTAGCATATGGGAAAAGGAAAACTCGGGTGCCAATGGGTTAAGGCTGTTTACTTCTGAGTTACCTCATTCTCATAGTCTTCGTACCAGGGACCAGGGGCTGCCCCGTTTCTGTGGGCAACAGGCTAAAGGGGAAAGAAAAATGACAGGAGCAGGTCAGTGAAGAATTGAGCAAATTGCTTTAGGTGTAATCTGTTTCGCTATAATTTTAATGATTTCAAAACCCCATAATACACAATATTTCTATTTACTACTTAACCACTCAGAAAAAAACATGCATTGAATAGAAAGTTATATACCCCTTGTTTTCTCTCTCCTTTAGACCCAGACTTTACAGGCTGCAGAACAAGGATGCAGATTAAAGGTACATGTAAGACGTACATGTATGCTTTTGTTTATCGTTATCCTCATCATATAGAGGTCAAAGGTCATGTCGTTTATCTAAATATATTTCATAATGATTGATAAAGACCTTATGGTATCGAAAACACACCTTTGTCATACAAATTCTATTTAAAATTGGAAGAAAAGGGTGAAATAATCAAATTGGGATGTCATGCTACTTTATAATGGCTCAAGAAAGGGATGTTTGTATTATACAGATTGATAATGACCTCCGAAATTTCATAAAATACAATGTTTTTAATACAACTTTTACGGCAATGGGTCACTTACTTGTGCTGCCCCTACACACTATCCCATCTCATATGAAGGAAGCATCCACAAGTTATAAGTTTAAAGAACCTCCTTAGAACATATTTGTTTAAATAGCATTTTGACTGAGTTACAGTCAGGCATTTACAGCACCTATTTCTCCCTTTTTATATCTTTCATCCTAAGCGTATAGAGATGCTATGGCAGTGAAATGCACTATAGATGAATCAACGCTCATTATTATGTTATTATATTTGTGTAATTGTTGTGTTCATTTGGATGCCTGAATCAACAAGCTAAAACAAGCTTTCTACTGGTGCTCCCTTTTCGTGCTGCCCATTTTCAATTTGTTTAAATTAACTTAACATAAATGCTCATGATTCATATATTTTGAACTGTCTGCACTATATCACATGTATGTATTTGTTTGTGTTTAATAGAAATAAAGTCTTTTGAATTAAATTGAATTGAATTGAAAAAAGCACTGTAATTTTAATATTTAAGGTAAAATGTTTTTTTAATTTTTAAAGCTGACTCTGCTGCCCCCTAGTGATCAAGGATTTCACTTCAAGAACGATTCTCTGATATTCCGTGTTTGGCTGAACCCCGCCCACATGCAGCAGCTTCATCTACAGGTCAAGCAAACACCAGGTAAATCATTTTGTGTTAAAGCCCCACTGCACTACTGATAGCTACTTGCGCCTTCTATATAGCAAACAATGCCTAAGCGGTGACCGTTGGTCCCCCATGGTCCCCTTTTTCTTATGTTAATTGAGAGCTGATTTGATGAGATAACCACCTGTCAATGACCATGCAGGGAGGTCTAATCCCTCCTGGCCAAACTAGTGCAGATAGGCTTTAAATTCATTAAATCGAGAATACCATTCAGGAGCAGGTGCCACTGTTAATTCTGTATATGGGCTGAATCAAACCGTAGACTGATATGTATAACATGTTTATGTTATGTATACACACTCTAATCGTGGCAAAACTCTACTGCGCCAGTACTCTGTTTGTTCCATTCGTTGACCACAGCCTGGAAAGGGTTAATACCTTAAATAATGTTTGTCATGATGGTGGACATATATTGAATTCCATTAGTTAAAACATTGAATAAATCATTATTTTAAAGAAAATATTCATTGCCACAGAAACAGTTAAAGGAAATTTTCAAGAAAATCATTTGCCAGCTACATTGTAAACGTATGCTTTTTGTACCCAGATGAAAATTATAGAAAAGTCATTTGTATTTGTTCCATGAAAGTTGACTATTAAATTGGCAACATGAATTAGCAACTCAAATTGGTGACCTAGCTTCAACAGTGATCAGGTGTTAGCATTTCATCTACTTCTTATACTTTCTGGTGATGCAATATTGAACTTTTTTTCTTCTTACAGATGCCAAAGAACGTTGGAGCCCAGATGAGCTTCATGTCATTGAACTTTACTATGAGAATAAGGTGAGTGAGAGAAATATTATTGCCAATTTGCAAGGGATAGTGATTTAATTTTTTGAATTCAGATACATCATTGATGACCCTTTCAATCAATGTTATTGTAATTGTATTTGCCATTTACGTTTAGTTGGCCAGAACTTAGTTATAACACGACTGTGCCTTAATTTGCTCAACTCAGTTTCCAGCCTGACATTCCAACCTGAGTGTGACCTTACATTCTGTCCTGTCTGATTCCAACATCATTTGCAGCATGTGGGACTGAGCATCTTTTTTTAAAACACAATTATAACACAAAATACAGTAGGTGGGGCTTATCTTTCTTCCTTCCCATTTTAGCCATTACGTTTTTTTGCCCATGTTGTGTGTCCCTCCTGGTGTGTTCAAGGATCTTATTCAGCTAATGCACCTAGAACTTCAACCAGAGTCTCATCTCATATGAGTTTCCAAGAATCTTTAATATATGGGACTAAGCTCTTATTCTTCCCTCCTTCTTAGGTTGCCTGCCCGCCGTTCAAACCCAAGGCTATCACTTCCTTTGCCCGTATGCTGTGTGCCATGCCTGGTGTCTTCAAGGACCTCATCCAGCTGATGCACCTAGAACTCCAACCAGACCCCTCCCTGAAGTGGTCTATGCAGCTCTGTCTCACCGTGCCACAAGGACAGACCTTCGCTCCTGTCGGTATCCCAGCTGTTGTTATCAAGACAAAGATGCTCCTATTTGTAAGTTTCTTGTCTGTTTAATTTATTTATTCTTTTGATTATACAATTTCAAGAAGAAATGAATTATTTACTGAAATTTTAGTGTGCATGAAATGTTAGCAAATGTTGAGAGGGGTTCAGATTCACAAATATTTCATACCATGAAATAATCAAATCACTATTGACACAACACCAACTGTTTGCAACTTGTGAAAGTTTCTCAGAGTGAAAATTGTTGTTCTTAATGATCCATAAAAGTTTCATGTCACAAAAGTTTTTCTGGTTTTACTGTAATCAAATTGGGGTATAAAACAAATATGCCATGATTTATTTCTGAAGTTTGGAAATATTGGGGTCCAGCTTCCTCATCTAAGAGTAAATATGATTTACGTTATGTGGGATGGTGTCTCCTTTATCAGACTACGACTTGAATGTTAGTATGTGGGACTGAGCATCGCCATAGATTACAATATAATTTTACAGTATATGGGACTGAACCTTTCATATCTGATTCAAATATGATTGATAGTATTAGGCTTATCAATCATGGTCGTGGTATAGTGGTTCATTCACTTGACCCTCAATCCAAGGGTTGAGGGTTCAAGTCCCTGACTGGCAGTATCGTCCTTTGGCAAGACATGAATCCACATTTGCCACTCTCTACCCAGGTGTAAATGGGTATTTGGCTTAATATAAGTATTATTTCCTCAAAAATTAAGAATATCTTGTTATAATTTTAATATGTGTAAAGTGTATTTGTATACATTTGTACATGAATATGTACATACATTATTTTCATACACTGTTTTCATACTTTCTGTAATAATATCTGTAATACCTTTGTTTATCTCTCTGTTGGAAATGAAATAAATACGAATTGAATTGAATTGAATTGAATTGTTAAGTACTATAAACTTTGTTGTCCACTGCAGATCCAGCTGAGCAGGCAAGACACGGCGCCCATGGTCGGCCAGGAGGCTCCCTCTGTGATCGTTCCCGTGCTCTACGACATGCAAGCCAACACGACCCAGCACATCTCCGCCATCAAGCCTTCGGTCCCGACCAGTCAGAATGACGGCACCATCGCTACCATGCTGAGGAGATGGGCAGAATTCCCAAACAGTGGTAAGCATCTTAAAGCCCAACTGCACTACCTGTAGCTACTTGCGCCCTCTATATAGAAAACAATGCCTAATCAGTGACCATTGTTCCCTATGATCCTCTTTTTATTATGTTAATTGATGAGATAACCACCTGTCAGTGACCATGCAGGGAGGTCTAGTCCCTCCTGGCCAAACTAGTGCAGTGGGGCTTAAATGTCTGTTTTTATTCCTGACTTTGTTATTGAGACATTTAGTTGCTATTATGGTCCTATTGAGTGACACCTAGGCCATCTTGCATAATCAAATATTATCTACTTTTATATTGTGCACATATCAATCCCAGGGAATGTTCAAGGCACCTACAAAGTAGTATTATTTCCCTGGCTTTAGCCCAGCTGCCCTAAGGCACTCAAAGCATTCAAGGAATAAATCCATACCAGGTACCCATTTGCATACATGCCAACTGTTCAGATTAAAGAGGAACATTCCTCTTTTTGGGAGAAGACAATTATCATTTTAATGCAGGTATTCCTCTTCCTGTACAAATTTGTCTGTAGTATTGAATAGGAGAGTTAGGATTGTTCCTCTTTTTTTTTAAAATAGCATAATTTGTACAGATTTCTGATTTTCAAATGTTGGCATGTATGCATTTGCTACACCTGCGTGGAGAGTAGCAATTGTAGATTAACGTCTTGCCATGGTGGGACTTGAACCGCAAATCATGTGATCCACAGTACGGTGAGATGTCCGCCAGTCATGAAACCTCTAAGGCACCTTAAATGCAAAAGGCTCCTGGTTTCTAGAATTTGACTAAAATATGCTCTGGTGACTATAGCTCCAGGCTTTGTTTTGTCAGAGATATGGGTTTAGGATTAGGGTTGGAACTTGGATTTAGTTTAGGTTTGGTGTTAGGGTTAGGGTTATGGATAGGGCTAGGTAGCGGTATAATGTTTGGTCCAGGGTTTAAGTTAGTACAGTGAAACCTGTCTATAAAGACCACTCAAGGGAGACAAGAAAAGTGGTCTCTATTTACAGGTGCCTATAGTACGTACTTCAATGAAAAACCATTTTCAAGGGAAACAAAGATTGTGGTCTTTGTAGACAGGTGGTCACTAAAGCAGTTTGGCTGTAATTTGATTAGTGTAGGATGTTATTAGTTGAATAATTGTCAACCATTTATACTCATGTTTCTCACTCTCTCCCTCTCTCTCTCTCTTTTAGCGGAGTGCACTCTATTCCCTGCTATCAGGGATCTCATGGCCAATCTCAACCTACCGATGTGAAGACATCCAGCTCCAAACCAGGTCCAGGACCCTTCAATTTTCCAGGAAAAATAAAACAGAAAAGAACTTTTTTTTTGCTGAGTGTTTTTCGAGAACAACAGAATGACATCTGATGAACATCTTCGATTCAAAATCAATAATAGCTGAGTAATAGCCATAGAAAGTTGAGGAAATTGGGTAGGATAGGCCTTCCAATAGAATAAGTAGTCCCACATGTGCACATATGTGCTGGTAGTTCTCAGTTTACTTTCAACGAGTCTGTAAATTTTGCTTACCCGTTGACTTTCCCAAACAGCCATGTATGACATAAACCAATGCAGGATTAGTGAAGTATACAGCATGGAAAAAAAGGAAAATCAAACCAAACTCTTTTTATCAGGGTAGTATGTTACGCATGTAACTAACAAAACATGATTCTACTACCGGTAAGTACTCTCTTGAACGAATAACCTTGTGAAACAATCGTTCTTTGCTACCGTGGTATTTTATTTCCTTCTGATCACAAAATTGTCATCAGTAAACTTTCTTGGTCTAATAATTTCTTATTCTCTCTCAAAACTCAGTTTCATTATCAGAACTCTAGATTATCTTTACAACAAATTGTTTACCTGACAAAGTTATTAAACAGTAATCACTGATCTCTTGAAAGTTTAGGTACATTTTGAAGCTCAGATTTCATTCAGAATTTGAATGAATGATACTTCAATTACTAATAACCTTGCTCATGAGAAGATTAAATTGTCAACTCTATGATATCGTGTTAGAAGAATTTGTTATGTTATGTTTTGTGTAAATAAAATGAATAAACTATTGCATTTTATATAATTATTGTTCATTGAGTAGACAACGTTTTGCAAACAATAGGTTTTAATAGACTTCCGGTATTATTTTCTCTAGATGCACAGAAAACAGCAAACAAATTAGTCATGTGACTACATTCAACCTTGCATAAGTTGACCTCACACTTGGAAATTTGAAAAGTTAAAAAATTGGCCTTCCTCTTAGGGATGCTAGAAATTGAAAGGGTGACAAAACAAAAATCAAATGAGTTTTAGATCACATATTTCTTTTAAGGGATCATTTAAAGGTCCCAGGAAAGGTTATTTTTCTGAAACAAAGCAGAATTGTAATTGTTTTCTCCAAGGTTTTATCACTCTATACACTCTTGGAATAGGAGTTTAATTTCACAGCCTCCTATTCATATTGTATCCACTCAAAATTCACTGAAATGTTAATTTTTTTTAAATCTAGATTTTGTACATTAAAATCATGAATGTAGTAATTTTGATTGCAAATGATGATATAAAAGATTTATTGATTCAGACAAAGAACTCGATCGAGAAATTAGTAAATTGTAATGCCACGATATGTTTTGTTTTTTGTTTGTACATTTTTAGTATGTTTATTTGAGGTTATGCGACCCTCATCAGGGTAATAAATATAACTTCTGAAACAGTTCAGTCTCCAATTAGTCGTTTTATCATTAAGAGTGAATCCTTATTCATAGAGATATAATGTAGAAGAGAGAGTTGGTTGCATACAATTGGAAACAGATAGCAATACATACTGAGAATTCCTGAGCTGGGGGGGGGGGGGGGGGGGGGGGGGTCTTCATACACAGTAAAATTTAGCTTGAAATGAAAGTAGCATTGTAAATGGGAAATAGGTATGGTGAAAAGGGTAAGAAGAGAGACAGAGAGAGCAAGAGAGAAAGAGACAGAGAGAGAAAGAGGGAGGAGAGACAGACACAGTGAGAGAGAGAGAGAGAGAGAGAGAGAGAGAGAGAGAAAAGGACATTGAGCGAAATATTCCTCTCGAAACGTGAGATTTGTCAGCAATGTTGGCACTCCCATATATAGTTTGCCTACATTTATGACAAGCGGTTAGGAAGCAAGCAAATACCAGACACATAGTCATTTTCCTTTAAGGGGGTGTTTTTAGACCTTGAGAGAGATTTATTCACATTTTCATGGATTTCATTTTCGACATAAAATTTGACGTTTTGACATTCGTGATCCAAATAATTTTGATTAACATTTAAAAAAAAAAAGAATTTCTTGTTTTCAAAACTTGTGTTGTCGTGGATATCAAAGCAAAACGAAACAGACACGGATAAAGAGCAAGTAGAAAGTAAAAGGGGGAGGGCGTTGAAAGGAGAGAGAGAAAAAAGGGAGGAAGGGAGAAAACGATCGAGGGAGAGAGAGAGAGAGAAGGAGAAGGGTATGATCAAACGTTTTCTTAGTTAATTTTTAAAACATTCATCCTTCATATTTAAACGAAACAGGTATTTCTATATTTCTCTTGATGTCAAATGTCGATTGTTATTCTTTTTTCACCCTCCTTGTCCTGTTGTTCTGTTTGACATTGTTTATTTCCGTCTCTTTGTCTGTTGGTATGTATTGTATTTTCTTTTCCTCTTTTTCTTTTAACTCTATAAATATCTGTATCAGACTCCCAATCCATGTCTGTCTGTCTAACTGACTGCCTGGCTGTCTGTCTATCTATCTATCAATCTATATATCTATCTGTCTATCTATCTATCTATCTATCTATCAATCTATCTGTCTATCAATCTATATATCTATCTGTCTATCCATCTATCAATCTATCTATCTGTCTATCTATCAATCTATATATCTATCTGTCTATCTATCTATCTATCTATCAATCTATCTATCTGTCTATCTATCAATCTATATACCTATCTGTCTATCTATCTATCTATCTATCTGTCTATCTATCAATCTATATATCTGTCTATCTATCTATATATCTATCTATTGTTTACCTTGTCTACTCACTGCTGCCAATATTTTTTCAAAACTTAAGATTCCTACAAATGAATCATGCAATATTTCTCTGTAATTATTCCCCCCTATATCCCCACATTTACCTTGTCCTCCATGTCTGTCTCTGTGTCTCTCCCTCTCTTCCTCCTTCTCTCTCCCTCCCCCTTTTCTCTCTCTCTCTCTCTCTCACTCTCTCTCTCTCTCTCTCCCTCTCTGTATGGCATTTCTTCCTTTTTTCCTTTGACTCCTCTCCTTTTCTTTCTCCTTCTCCTCCTCTTCTTCTTCTTTTTCTTTTCTTCTTACGTTTTCTTCTTTGTCTTCTTTGTCTTGTCTTCTTACTTTTTCTTCTCCTTCTTCTTCTTCTTCTTCTTCTTCTTCTTCTTCTTCTTCTTCTTCTTCTTCTTCTTCTTCTTCGTCTTCTATTTCTTCTTCTGCTTCTCTTTTTTTCTTCTTCTTCTCCTTCATCTTCATTTTATTCCTCCGCTTCCTCTTCTTAAAGCCCAACAACACGCACAATATACCAAGTGTTTTGAGATGCAACGAGATATTGATTACATGTAACGTCTCCTAATTTTCTAGTGAATTTCACAAGGATCTAAACAACCAAAAAACTACAAAGTTTTGATCATTTTGTAAGACACAGCATTTTTCAAATATTATACAAAGAAATGTATTATATTATTGCACCAGCAATAATGTTTATCAATTGAAGTGTATGTTACTATACAACAACCCCGAGTTTTGATTGAAATTAGTTCAGTACCTTTAGAGAGTTTTTCGAGTAAAATTTATTTTTGAAACACTCCGTGTAATCTGTAAACTGTACATATACATCGAGTAAAATTTTCCTATCGAAACATGAACAATTTCTCAGCAATTTTGGTACTTCTACAGTATATGCCTACATAGTTTATGAGAAGCGGTTAGAATATAAGCAAATATTATCTATATAAGGCTTCCAAGTGTTACAAAAAAAATCAGCGTACTCAATATCTTGAGCGCAGTACCCGGATGACTGACCAATATTGCTTTCGTATTGCTCAGTCATCCGGGAACTTCAACTATTGATATCGATATCATACGAAAACAAAGCCATATTTACCGAGGTAAGTCAAATGTTGTTATTTTGCTAGTCAGAATAATATAGATGATAATAATAATATTGTATGGCTTTGTTTTCGTGTGATACAAGAATATAGACACGTCCTTGACTCGTCCAATATTGTCATAGCTCGAGCAATATATTCTTGTATGATCACACTCAAAGCCATCCAATATTATATAGGCCTATATACCAGAGGTACCAGACACGAAGTCATATATGTAAGGGGTGACTTTGAGACCTTGAGAGAAATTTATTCACATTTTCATCACTTTCATTTTCAACGACAAATTTGACGTTATGACATTCGGGTTCCGAAATAATTTTGCGTAACAAAAAAAGAAGAAGACTATATTGAATTGCTTGTTTTTAAAACTCGTGTGCCGTGGAAATTAAGGCAAAACAAAACAGACACGGATTAAACGAAAAAAAAATAAGTAGAAAGTGAAATGGGGAGAGCTTTGAAAAAAAAGAGAATTAGGGGTGGGGGAGAGAGAGAGAGAGAGAGAGGGGGAAGAAGGGATGGAGGGAGGGAATGAGAGAGAAAGAGAGACGGCAAGCTAGAGAGAGAAAGGAGAGGAGGGGAGGGGGAGGGGAAGAAAGAGAGAGAGAGGGGGAGGAGAAAGAGGGAAAGAAAGAATGAGGAAAAGAGAGAATGAGAGAAAGAGAGAGAGAAAGAGAGAGAGGAGGAGAGGAAGGGATGGAGGGACTAGGGAATGAGAGAGAAAGAGAGAGCAAGCTAGGGAGAGAAAGGGGAGGAAGGGAGGGAGAGGGGAAGAGAGAGGGAGAGGGGGAGGAGAAAGGGATGGAGAGAGAGAAAGAGAGAGAATGAGAGAAAGAGAGAGATAGAGAGAGAGAGAGAGAGAGAGAGAGAGGAGAGGGTGATCTTTCCGCTCAATAGCAATTAGATAGCTAGCTTCTATAAACTATCACGAACAAAAATTGGAGAAGAAACAAAATGGATTGATTTGAGAGGAGGTAGCTAGCTAGGGAGTTAGCTCATCTCCTTGCATGTATGAACGATACATTTCGCGGGTGCTGTAACACCACAGCTCATCTGACCCAGTCGGCAAACCATATAACAGGACCATGATAGCCACATCCAGTTATCCACTCAACCAGACGGAGTGAGATTGACCGCTCTGTCAACTCTGTTTGTCGGCTGCTAGCTACCGCTGACGCGCCCGAAAAGGGAAAGACGGAAAGTGATCATAGCATAATGGTATAGAGTAGTTCTTGAGACAATTATCACCTTTTTGTGAACCAAGCATGGCCGGGCATCCACAAGGGTGTGAATACCATCTTAATGGAATTAATCAGAAGACTTTGTACCCTCTTATGCTCGTCTTGATGCTCTGTTTGGGCGCACCGGTAGTATCGGGGAGCCGCCACGGAGGCAGTCTGACACCGGATAGGGAGCGGATACCAGACGGCGGGGAGCGGGGAGCAGATGACACGCAGATGGTAGTAGCGACGAGCAAGTTTGCTGCATCAGCACCACCCGGAGGAGAGGCTGGGTTGGTGGAGACATTTGAGACGGTGATGATAGGTGGAGTGGCCGCTAGGTCAGGGGACCAACTCTCGAAAGACGAGACGAAGGGTCTCCATGTAGTGGCTGACACAGTCTCAGGACAGACGGAATTTAAAATGTCCTGCTACGATGATGACAAGGGTAAGTAAGTTGCGCAGAAAGCTTGTGATGATGACGTCACAATGACAAAGATGCCAGAAAACATTTTCTTTGTTATGTGACCCCCATGCCACCCCCTTCTCAAGATTTAGGAGGTACAGAGAGAGAGATAGATAGATAGAGAGAGAGAGAGAGAGAGAGAGAGAGAGAGAGAGAGAGAGAGAGATGGAAAGGGGAGGAGCCAAGTTGGGAGGATATTAAGAATGATTCACTGAAAATCCACTAGCTGTGCTTTTTATTTAGGCTCTTTTTAATTTCTCTCTTCGCATAATCAGCATATAAAGTATGTGAACAATTTGAATTGTCTTGATTTACGGTTTTTAGGAATGTGACAGCTTATATAATCTCAAAATATTAACAAAGTCCCTAATTCCACCAGTCCACCTTTCATTCATGAGTTTCGAAAAACACAAAAATATCAAATGCACTAGGGGTATGAATAATTAAGTATATCTAAAAACTTATTACTTATTTAATGTAAATTAAACTAATCAACCTGTATTGTTTGTAACTGAATAATCAGCTTGTATGAGTCATAATTGATTTTATGTCAATGTAGAACAAATGACCTTCAGACTTCATCGTGGGGAAAAGTCTTTCCAACAATTTTCACCCTCGCTAGATCCACTTGAGTATGATGATGATGATAACGCAAACTAAACGAGCGCATGAAGAAATATACCTATTAATCTTCATGTAGTGCTCCATTAAGTTATCAACATCTTAACCTACTTGTAATGCATCCAGCCTACGTGGTCTTCAACTCGTTTAGTTAAATGAAAGTAAAGTTGTAACTGTTGAAAGGGGTAAAGAAAGGTCGAAGCCACTTTGGATAAAGGTCATCTGTTAATGTGATCAATGTGAAAGTCGGCTC